CGGTGTTCCCTTAAAGCTGGCGGTTTTGAAGCTTGTGTCCCTCAGATTGCCAGGGAAAATAAATAAAATAAATCTGAGGCTGTGTGCCAGGGATCAAGAGGAGGCAACACTACAGGTCATAAGATACACCCGATAGTTAACAAGGTGTATTTGGGAAAAATAATTTGAGCAGATCTAAAGCCGACTGTACCGGCAAAGCCAAGTCACTGGCTATATGCTATCATGTTCCTCACTACCACAGCTCACCATCACTTTATGGACCTGTTATCAAACATTTGTTGGTATTATTAATAAAATTGACCGAATTTAATACAAAAGGCTATAATTATACGTATAAGTGCCTACGGTATACACATTACAAATACTTATTGGTAGCGGACATGTTCAGTACAGGGATTGTTTACAGCCTGTGCACCTCATGTTGAGAAGTATCGTCACTACCACAACTATCACTGTGTTGACCTAATGTTCATACAGTGTTATTTCATGTTTATGTTTATTTATTTATGTTATTTCATCTTTATTATGTTGTGTTATTCAGACATAGTGTTGTTATACAGCAGCATATAGCTCTTTATATCTGTACTTTACAATATAGTTTTAATAATTCTACATTCATTTTATAATAATCTTGTACATTTTTAGTAATTTATAAATATTTTTTTGACTAATTTGTAAAAAAAAATCGATTTATTTTTTTTACATAATTTTCTTAATAATTTCATATTAATTCCTCCTAAAAAATTCCTTATTATGTATATTCAATTTTTCCTTCACACAATTAACTTGGTAAATACATTATATATTTTCCTTAGTTGAAATACTTTTACGTCCAAACTTTCATGCAGCTATTTTTAAATTTTGTTTTTTAAACTGTATTTCTTGGGGGGAAATTAATGTGTGTGTGTGTGTGTGTGTGTGTGTGTGTGTGTGTGTGTGTGTGTGTGTGTGTGTGTGGAGCTAAAAATTAGTGTCATGTCAACTTTCAACCTTTTTAAAGCCTAAGCGAATTTCTTCCTTAATTACAGGGGTTTGAAAGTTGATATTTGATTCCATATACACACTAAAAAGGTCTTCATTACACACACACACACACACACACATATATAAACATACACATTTCCCTTATATATACATTTCTATATAAACCTAAGATGACTCACTAAAATTTTTCTCCCATTAAAAAATCACCCAGAAAAATTTTATACACAAATAGAAAATGATACTCTATTATTTTTTTTTCACAGTTAATTTATATATATTTTTTCCGTAAATTAAAATCAAATATAAAAGTCAGCGTAAAATTGTCGAGCTGGTCAATGGTATTTTGTTTGTCTTTAAAAGAATAATTGTCTCACCTGATGATTAGACACCCTAGTTTATTTTACCTGGTGATAAGAACACCTTATAACGCTATTTGAGGGGTTTGGTTTGGTTAGGTTAGGTTTGGTTAGGTTAGGTTTGGTTAGGTTAGGGTTAGGCTAGGGTTGGTTTGGTTAGGGTTAGGCTAGGGTTGGTTTGGTTAGGGTTGGTTGGTTAGGCTAGGTTAGGTTAGGTGAAATTCTCCGGTCTTTAATCATCAGGTGTAATAAGGTGACTTTTTCTTTTTATTTATGGGGATTAGCCCACCCGGGCACAGGTCACTGACCCACATCGGGGCCTGGGGGGCGAAAATGTAATAATAATAATAATAATAATAATAATAATTAGTTCATAGTAAATAAAATTTATAATAAAAAATAAAAAATAAAATAATAATAACAATAACAACACTAATAATAATAATAATAATAATAATAAAGAACCATAAAGAAATACAAAAATGAAACAAAGATCAATAGTGAAAAACGATATATGAATGTTGTGTTGTCAATAATACGAGAAGCAATTGAGACCCTGCAAAGTGTGTAAATGAGGCAGAAAGTCGGATCAGCAACCTGGGACTTGGTCACAATTTTCGTGATGCCATATGGCAGCAGGGTCTACCATAGACAACACATTATGCTTCCAATATCTTCCCAGGCAGTAGTACCTCCCTGTTTGGTAGCTGCCTACTACCTAAGGAATGTGTAACCTTTAAGTTTATCTGAACAACTATATAAATATTTGATTAAGTCATAAACAATTATATCCAGGATGACCTTAATGTTTTACTCAGGACGACGAAAAATTGGATAAAAAAATATAAAGATTAATATTTAAAATCAGATTAAAATTTGACTCTAGGCGAAAAAATAAAGATTAAATTAAAATGAAAAAAAAAACAAGATTCACCGGAGATTCGTTTTTGAATCACTGACAGACTGAATCATACATCAGGTCTCCAAGACAGTTCACTCATGAATTATTTCCTTCTCTTTCTTTGCAGACAGACAGCCACCCAAGGACGGGAGGGACTCTGGAGCCTCACTACGGACGGATCGCCTCGCCTTATCTCCTATGGCGACGTCACCAGGGGACGGGACGGTAACCACACCTTAACCACGACTTTTGTGGGTTATTTCCCGGTGTCATCCATCAATCACGGTGATAGTGAGGGCCGCAGGAGGGAGACTTACCTGTGTGTGTGTGACGCCGCCCGCCAGGTGTGACGTTCAGGTGCTAGTGGGAGACTTACCTGTGTGTGTGTGACGCGGCCCGCCAGGTGTGACGTTCAGGTGCTAGAGGGAGACTTACCTGTGTGTGTGTTGCCCGCTGCTGCCTCCTCCACCTCCTCCCCCAGCGAGACCAGTGTGGTGATCAGCGAAACCAGAGAACTGATCACTGAGATACGAGATTGATCATCATAGCCAGAGACTGATCACTGAAACCCAGAGACTGATCACTGAAACCAAAGGACTGAGAACATTTAGTGTGCTTATGTTAGTGAAACCAAATCAGTGAATACAAGTGAGACCGTCTTTGGTTTCTAAGTACCAGTCTTGAAAACAAACCAGTGGTATCGAGGCCAAATGATCGATCCCCCAAACCAAAGAATTCAGAACATCGAAACCAGACTGGGGCAATGAAAACGAAACCTTAATTCCCATAAATGAAAACAAAAGAAGTGAGAACACCGATTCCTGTGATAGTGAAACCATTGACTGATCACTGAAACTCCAAACACAGATTCTTTGTCATCGAAACCAGTATTATCTCTTGAGTGTCGTATAGATTGTGTTGACGAAACCCAGATTTTTAAAGATTGAAATCGATTTTATATTATACAGAAAGGAGGATTTAGGATAGAAGAAATCTGTACAATGAAATCGGATTGAGATAGACAAATCCTCTTAAACAAAACTGTTTCACTTGACCACTGAAGCAAAAGATTCGAATCATTTTTACTTGTATAGATTCAAACCTGAAAATAAAATAAAATAGACAGACCAGCATCATACTAACCAATCCCAGAGTTCGAATCAGTTCCATTTGTAGAGATTCGAACCCAGGGACTTGAACAAACAAACCAACGAACCCCATACTTACCGAAGCCAGAATACGAATCACCGACACAATAGTAAACAAACATCAAGACTACTAAAGTGATCTTGTGTGAGTGTCGAGCTATGGTACCGAATCAGTGAGACAAACGAAACCCGACCACTGAGACCGTGTTGAGACTGACGGCACCAGTTCTTGTGTGAAACGAAACCTAGCAATCAGTCAGTGTGGATCTGTGCTGACCTGTGTGTGTGTGTGTGTACCCCCGTGTGTACGTTCGTGGCTCTCTGTGTACTTATGTGAACCCGTGTACACCTGTATAGACCCGTATAGTAGTGAACAATAGTAATCCAAGGGCGATATTTTGTTGTTAGAACGAAAATTCGTCCTTGCCCCCCCCCCCCTAATAATAATAATAATAATAAATAATTAAATAAATAAAATCGGTCCGTGAAATTAAGGTAAATATTACGAAATAAAAGAAAAATATGTGTTACCGTCATTCCCAAAAATCAACGACTAACATCAAAGTGAACGATACGAAACGAAATCTACGTTGACACCAAAATCAACCAATGAACATAAAGGAAACATAACACTAAGAAAGAAAAAAAATCTGTGCTCAACTTAAACCCAAAATAGAAATCGATCAGTGAACCACCTACAAAAAATATACCGACAAACACCCAACTAATCTGCTCTAAAGTTAACCCAAAATCTGTACACCGAAATCTGTGCCAAGAAAATCGATCTGTGAACTATAAACTACGAGGGGGGGAAAAAAATCTGTGCTAAATTAAATAAAAATCGATTAGCGGAGAAAGCAGAGAGAGGAGGTTCGGGGAGAAGAGACGGGCGAACGGACGGAAAACTGGTGTATAGAGTCGGGTGGCGGCGGTAAGCAGATCTGCGGTGACCGGTAGTGGAACACGCCTGGCCCCCCGAATAAAGGAGGTTTGTCAATAGCACTAAGCCTCTTTGTACAGCCTTGTTGGAGAAGGAGGAGGAGGAGGAAGAAGAAGAAGAAGAAGAAGGAAAGAGGAAAAAAGAGGTGGTTAAGAGTACTATTGAACGCTCTTAAACCACAACTACTAACCTTCACTACCACCATTGAAACTACCACTATTATTATTACCCCGGTGTTCTAGAGTATTCCAAGCGTTATTACCACACCTACCACAACTTAAACTGTGATAGCTGTTTATGTGAGGTGATTTGCGACTACCACTACTACCAGCATCGTTACTACCACCACTCTCACTACTCTGTTTAGTTAACCACAGTGTTTGTGTCGTTTTGCTCAATATTAAACAGGAAAATGGAGTAAAAAAAAATACAAACATATGGAAATAAGTGAAAAAGTATAAGGAAAATTGAAATAAGAAAATCAAGTAAATTAAAGTTAAATGTCGTGAAAATAAGATAGATAAATAAAAGAAAAAACAAACACAGAAAAAAACAATGAAATAAAACTAAGAAAAAAAATAAGTGAAAAAAGTCGAAATTAATTATACTGTGTAACAACCACAACAACCACAACAACCACAACAACCACAACAACCACAACAACCACAACCATGACAGTTCAAGAGAGGGTTGCCATGTGGGCACTGTCGGCACTCACTCTGGCACTCGGCTACCACAACACAGTTCATGGCAAAGGTAAGTGTGTGTGTATGTTTGTTGTTTTGTCCTGAGGTAATCTTATCTTCTGGTGTTTACCTGTGATGGTTAAACGCTCTGAGCGACTGACTAACTGGATGACTGACTGACTGGATGACTGACTGACTGATTAACTGACTGACTGATTAACTGACTGACTGATTAACTGATTGTGCTGACTGGTTGACTCACTGGATGACTGACTGATTAACTGATTGTGCTAACTGGTTGACTGACTGACTTACTGACTGACTGACTGGTTGACTGGATGAATGACTGGTTAACTGATTGTGCTAACTGGTTAACTGACTGACTGACTGAATAATGGTCTCTCAAGTACAGTATTTACAAAATGAACCCTGACAGTTGATACATTTTAAACTAAGACCTAGGTTAGGTTACCTTATGATAAGTTAGGCCAGGTTAAATTTAAATTATGCTGTTTTATCTACCTTATGATGGGTTGGGTTAGGTTAGGTTAGGTTAGGTTAGGTTAGGTTAAGAACATAAATACATAAGAATGGAGGAAACTGCAGTGGGCCCATTGGCTCATATTGGGCAGTCCCGTTTACACCCAACCCCTATTGCTCATATATCCATCCAACCTATGATTGAAGGTTAGGTTAGGTTAGGTTAGGATAGGATAGGATAGGATTGGATAGGATTGGATAGGATAGGATAGGATATACTGTTGACCAAACTATACGTAAAACATAACAAAAACATCAAACATCATCAGCTGCACCCCCGTCCCTCTCACTGCACCCCCGTCCCTCTCACTGCACCCCCGTCCCTCTCACTGCAATTCCCCGGCCCGCTCACTGCACCCCCGGCCCGCACACTGCACCCCGGCCCGCTCACTGTAATCTTCGGCCTGCCTACTGCACCCCCCGGCCTGCTCACTGCACTCCCCCGGCCCTCTCACTGCACCCCCGGCCCTTCCCCACTGCACCCCCGTGGCCCCCCACTGCACCCCCGGCCCTCTCTACACTGCACCCCGGCCCTCTCACTGCACCCCGGCCCTCTCACTGCACCCCCGGCCCTCTCACTGCACCTGGCCTGCTCACTGCACCCCTCTTCGGCCTGCTCACTGCACCCCCGGCCCGCTCACTGCACCCCCTGCCCGCTCACTGCACCCCTGGCCCGCTCACCGCACCCCGGGCCCGCTCACCGCACCCCCGGCCCGTCACTGCACCCCGGCCCGCTCACCGCACCCATGGCCTGCCTGCCACCGCACTCCCCGACCCGCTCACCGCGACCGGCCCGCTCACCGCACCTCGTGGCCCGCTCACCGCACCCCGGCCCGCTCACCGCACCCCGGCCCGCTTCACTGCACCCCGGCCCGCTCACCGCACCCCCGGCCCGCTCACTTCACCTGGTAGTCACTACACCTGGTAGAGTTAGGTAGAGTCTCAGTACATCTAGTTAAGGTAGAGTCTCAGTATATCTAGTTAAGGTAGAGTCTCAGTATATCTAGTTAAGGTAGCGTCTCAGTGTAATTTTGTCTCCTAACTTCTGCTAAGTGAGAGAGAGAGAGAGAGAGAGAGAGAGAGACATTTTAGGAGTAATCTTCCACTTCCGAGTAACAGCTGGGTCCCTCACTAGTACCTCATGAGTAACAGCTGGGTCCCTCACTAGTACCTCATGAGTAACAGCTGGGTCCCTCATTAGTACCTCATGAGTAACAGCTGGGACCCTCACTAGTACCTCATGAGTAACAGCTGGGTCCCTCACTAGTACCTCATGAGTAACAGCTGGGTCCCTCATTAGTACCTCATGAGTAACAGCTGGGACCCTCACTAGTACCTCATGAGTAACAGCTGGGACCCCTCACTAGTACCTCATGAGTAACAGCTGGGTCCTCAATTAGGCACCTCATGAGTAACAGCTGGGTCCCTGACCAGTACCCTCATGAGTAACAGTTGGGACCCTCACTAGTACCCTCATGAGTAACAGCTGTCCCTCACTCAGTACCTCATGAGCAACAGCTGTCCCTCATCAGTACCCTCATGAGTAACAGCTAACCTCACTGCACCTCATGAGTACCGCTGGGTCCCTCACTCAGTACCTCATGAGTAACAGCTGGGTCCCTCACTAGTACCTCATGAGTAACAGCTGGGTCCCTCACTAGCACCTCATGAGTAACAGCGCTGGAACCCTGACTAGTACCCCATGAGTAATAGCTGAACCCCTCACTAGTACCCCATGAGTTACAGCTGGGACCCCACTAGTACCCTCATGAGTAACAGCTGCAACCCTGGACTAGTACCCTTATGAGTAACAGCTGGGACCCTCACTAGTACCCTCATGAGTAGCAGTTGGACCCTCACTAGTACTTCATGAGCAACCGCTGGACCCTCACTAGTACCTCATGAGAATAGCTGAACCCCTCACTAGTACCTCATGAGTAACAGCTGGGACCCCTCACTAGTACCCTCATGAGTAACAGCTGGGACCCCACTAGTACCTCATGAGTAACAGCTGGGACCCCTCACTAGTGGCCTTCTCATGAGTAACAGCTGGGACCCTGACTAGTACCTCCTCATGAGTAACAGCTGGGACCCTCACTAGTACCTCATGAGTAACAGCTGGGACCCTCACTAGTACCTCATGAGTAACAGCTGGGACCCTCACTAGCTGGGTCCCTCACTAGTACCTCATGAGTAACAGCTGGGACCCACACTTGGTTAGGGTAAGTTAGGTTAGGTTAGGTTAGGTTCGTGTAATGTAATGACTACTTCTGGTCCCATTGCAATGGGTCCCTCTGACACCATTGTAACTGATACCACTGGCACCATTATGAAGATATAGTGAGAGTTATAATTGGAAACATTTGAGTGTGTTGAGTGAGAGTAGGAAACATTTGAGTGTGTTGAGTGAGAGTAAGAAACATTTGAGTGTGTTGAGTGAGAGTAGGAAACATTTGAGTGTGTTGAGTGAGAGTAAGAAACATTTGAGTGTGTTGAGTGAGAGTCAGAAACATTTGAGTGTGTTGAGTGAGAGTAGGAAACATTTGAGTGTGTTGAGTGAGAGTAAGAAACATTTGAGTGTGTTGAGTGAGAGTAGGAAACATTTGAGTGTGTTGAGTGAGAGTAGGAAACATTTGAGTGTGTTGAGTGAGAGGAGGAAACATTTGAGTGTGTTGAGTGAGAGTAAGAAACATTTGAGTGTGTTGAGTGAGAGTAGGAAACATTTGAGTGTGTTGAGTGAGAGTAGAAACATTTGAGCTAAGCGTATTATTTAGAATTTACACTGGCGGGGCAGCTTAGGGGGGAAGGCTTTCAGTAGGGGGGGTGGGGGGTGGGGTTTGTAGGTGGGGGTGGGGAAGCTGTTTTGTAGGGGGGTGGGAGGCACCGTTGTTATGGTAACATCTCAAAACAACACAAGAGCAGTTGACAACATTGTGAATCCTCTTATTATTATTATTATTATTATTATTATTATTATTATTATTATTATTATTATTATTATTATTATTATTATTATTATTATTATTATTATTATTATTATTATCGTCACTAGTATTTTTATTATTGTCACTATATTAACTTTATTATTACTATTATTATTTTTGTTGTTGTCATTATTATTATTATTATTAATTATTATTATTATTATCATCATCATCATCATCATCATCATCATCAGATTTCTAAGATAAAACTAAAATAATAAAAAATAAACTTAGAGAATTAAAATAACCTAACCTAACCCAACGGCACCGCCACCGCCTCTCCGCTCTCTGTTTTTTCCTGTAATTATTGGCGATTTTTTTGTGATTTTATGTAATTGTTTTTGTTATTTTTGGTGGTGTTTTGGGGTTAATTTTGATGTTATTTATTTGGTTATGTTTTTGTTGAATTTTGTTTGTTTTTAATGATGTTTTTATTATTATTATTCTTTTAATTTCTCGTCTTTATTTAATTACTTTTATGTTTTCTTTATATATTTTTCATATTTATTGAAGTATTATATTATTTCTCATCATTATATAGTTTTTATATTCCTTTTATTATTTTATTATATTTATTTAATTTCTTTTGTATTTATTATTGTTTATTATTAATTATCTATATTATTTTCATCATGTTATTTTATATTTCTAGTTTTATTTATTTATTTCATTTATGTATAATTTTTTACCTGTATTTTTCTTCGTGTTATTTTATTTCTTTTATTTTATTCTTATTTTTATTTTTTATTATCTAATGATATTTTAAAATTGTTCCTTTATTTTATATATTATTTATTATTGATGCATAAATTACTTATTGAACGGTGTTTAAAAGACTTACTGAACGGTGTTTAAAAGACTTATTGAACGGTGTTTAAAAGACTTACTGAACGGTGTTTAAAAGACTTATGGAACGGTGTTTAAAAGACTTACTGAACGGTGTTTAAAAGACTTACTGAACGGTGATTAAAAGACTTATGGAACGGTGTTTAAAAGACTTATTGAACGGTGATTAAAAGACTTACTGAACGGTGTTTAAAAGACTTATTGAACGGTGTTTAAAAGACTTACTGAACGGTGTTTAAAAGACTTATTGAACGGTGTTTAAAAGACTTACTGAACGGTGTTTAAAAGACTTATTGAACGGTGTTTAAAAGACTTACTGAACGGTGTTTAAAAGACTTATGGAACGGTGTTTAAAAGACTTATTGAACGGTGTTTAAAAGACTTACTGAACGGTGATTAAAAGACTTATGGAACGGTGTTTAAAAGACTTACTGAACGGTTTTTAAAAGACTTATTGAACGGTGTTTAAAAGACTTATTGAACGGTGTTTAAAAGACTTATGGGACAGTGATTAAAAGACTTATTGAACGGTGTTTAAAAGACTTACTGAACGGTGTTTAAAAGACTTACTGAACGGTGTTTAAAAGACTTATTGAACGGTGATTAAAAGACTTATTGAACGGTGATTAAAACACTTATTGAACGGTGTTTAAAATACTTACTGAACGGTGTATAAAAGACTTACTGAACGGTGTTTAAAAGACTTACTGAACGGTGTTTAAAAGACTTACTGAACGGTGTTTAAAAGACTTATTGAACGGTGTTTAAAAGACTTACTGAACGGTGTTTAAAAGACTTATTGAACGGTGTTTAAAAGACTTATTGAACGGTGTTTAAAAGACTTACTGAACGGTGTTTAAAAGACTTATTGAACGGTGTTTAAAAGACTTACTGAACGGTTTTTAAAAGACTTATTGAACGGTGTTTAAAAGACTTATTGAACGGTGTTTAAAAGACTTATGGGACAGTGATTAAAAGACTTATTGAACGGTGTTTAAAAGACTTACTGAACGGTGTTTAAAAGACTTACTGAACGGTGTTTAAAAGACTTATTGAACGGTGTTTAAAAGACTTATTGAACGGTCTTTAAAAGACTTATTGAACGGTGTTTAAAAGACTTATTGAACGGCGCTTAAAAGACTTATTGAACGGTGTTTAAAAGACTTATTGAACGGTGATTAAAAGACTTATTGAACGGTGTTCAAAAGACTTATGGAACAGTGATTAAAAGACTTATTGAACGGTGTTTAAAAGACTTATTGAACGGTGTTTAAAAGACTTATTGAACGGTGTTTAAAAGACTTATGGAACGGTGTTTAAAAGACTTATGGAACGGTGTTTAAAAGACTTATTGAACGGTGTTTAAAAGACTTACTGAACGGTGTTTAAAAGACTTACTGAACGGTGTTTAAAAGACTTACTGAACGGTGTTTAAAAAGACTTATTGAACGGTGTTTAAAAAGACTTATTGAACGGTACTTTAAAAAGACTTACTGAACGGTGTGTTTTAAAAGACTTACTGAACGGTGTTTAAAAGACTTATTGAAACGGTGTGCGTTTAAAAGACTTATTGAACGGTGTTTAAAATACTACTGAACGGTTTTTAAAAGACTTATTGAACGGTGTTTAAAAAGACTTATTGAACGGTGTTTAAAAAAGACTTATTGAACGGTGTTTAAAGATCTACTGAACGGTGTTTAAAAAGATTTATTGAACGGTGCTTAAAAAGACTTATTGAACGGTGATTAAAAGATTTATTGAACGGTTATTATTATTATTATTATTATTATTATTATTATTATTATTATTATTGCCATTACTATTATTTCATTTATTTATAAAAATGTAATATTAAATAATAATAACAATGATAATAATGAGATAATAATATCGATAATAATAATAATAATATTAATATTAATATTAATATTAATATTAATATTAATATTAATATTAATATTAATAATAATAATAATAATAATAATAATAATAATAATAATAATAATAATCATAATCATAATCATAATCATAATCATAATCATAATAATAATAATAATAATAATAATAATAATAATAATAATAATAATAATAATAATAA